CTCTCCTATGAGCAAAGGCTGAGAATTGGGGGTGTTCAGCCTGGAGTAGAGAAAGTTCCAGGCAGACCTTACAGAAGCCTTCTGGTACATGAAGGGGGCCTACAAGAAAGCTGGAGAGCAAGGGCAGGTAGGGATAGGACAAAGGCTCTAAACTGAAAGAGGGTAGGTTTAGATTAGATATCAGGAAGAAACTCTTTATTCCAAGGGTGGTGGGGCACTGGAACACGTTGCCCAGAGAAGCTGTGGCTGACCCCTCCCTGGCAGTGTTCAAGGCTGGGTTGGATGGGGCTTTGAGCAACCTGGTATAGTGGAAAGTGTCCCTGCCTATTGCAGGGGGGTCGAAACTAGATGATCTTTAAGTTCCCTTCCAACCCAAACCATTCTATGCTTCTATGTTTCTACATAACCAAAAGGGAAGGGAGTCGCAGCTCTCAGGTTTGCGAGGGTTTTGAATGCAGCTTCCAACACCTTGGAACAATGCCCCCAGCTGGCTCCCGTTCAGTAGCCATCCATACCCAAGAGTTACAGCTGGAGAAGGCGGGGGTGGGGAGGGGGTGGAAATCCAGCATCCTTTTCACTGAATACCACAAGCACCTCTGGGGTCTTACATTCCTTTTGCAGAGCACAGCCTTCCTAGCAATAAAGTGTTTTTGTCACCCCTGTGGGAAAACTTCCCAAACGTAATGAAGACACAATTCTTTGTGGCAATAGGAAGAGTCTAAATTTGCCCACGTTGGATCTGTGAACTTCCTCTGGAGTGACAGCACTAAGCTCTGACAGGCTGTAACAGATCTGACTCCACGGGTCTAAATTAAGAGTTAGGGCATCACGTTTCTTGTGCTGACTCTGGGTCCTACCTGTCAAGTTGAGAAATAGCAGAAAAGGAGAGTAACGAATCTGAAGGCAAACTTGGAAAAGGAGCACCTTGGAAAATGGGAACACAAACGCTAACAGAGTGGCTTCTGAAGAGAGACAAAGAGAGGGCAAGGCTAGGACTGCTTAGGCAAAGAGATGCAAAAATAGGACTAAGCACACAAGTGTGAAATCCTGTAAGGGCTGGGAAGGTGAGAAGATGTAGAGTAGGAGTAGGAGAAGGAGAAAGGAAGGACAGACAGAGCAGGTCTGGAGCTTTAACAAGAAAAGCTGGGTCCTGCTGGGTAAGCAACTAAGTGACAAAGACAGAAGTGGGAATGAAATAAGCAGGATAATCAAAACTCCAGATTTGATGGGATTTCCTGGGCAGGCAAGCTTTCTGACACAAGAGGGTGTAACAGTAAGGGGGGGAGAGCAGGGGGAAACAGGGTCAGAAAGTAGGAGGAAAGGAAGTAAAGAAAGCAGGGCAGAAAAAAGCCCAGTCTAAAGTGGGACACAAGACTCCTGAATCCCTCAACATGCCTATCAAGTCTTCTGGAAACCTTCTAGAGTTGTGAGTGCGATTATCCAGCCACCATACTATGCAATTACCAGCTGAAGTGTCAGAAGTCTGTATGATGGATCCAAAAGTCCCAGGCCTGCTAATACACCATGCAGATAGATACAGATTGAAACTATTTAGAAGTTTGGAAAAGTCAAAACTAGGGTTGATTGCAAAACCTTTGTTCATTCCCCCTTTACTTATGTGTAACAAATAATGTATGGCTAACAGAGCAGTAAGTTATCCTGTGGACCTGAATTTAAACTCTACTTTTAGCAAAGAGTTCCCCTGTAACTAATCAGAATCATTTAAAGCACAATTTTACAGGTAATCACTAACGGCGTGCCAGATTAAGAGACTTCCCTGGATCATTAAACCCAGTTCTTGCTGATACCAGCATCACCTTTTTGAAGTCCCTTCTCTATGCTGATCAAGCTCCAGCTGAAAACCTGCTAGATATTTTAGATGGTTTTCTTAAATTTGCAGAAAAGATGAACCCTCTGAGCTCTGTCATAAGACCCAACAAGAGCTCTAGTTTATACGAAGATATTACAGAAATGTCAAATCCTTTAGATCTGACCTAACCAAAGCCTCAGATTGGGCACTCAAAATTAGTAGCTACTTCTGATATTTGCCTTTATTTACAGTAGCTGCAAACACAAAAGACAGTACTTTCGCACTGCAGAAAGGTGTTCTGAAAAATCTATCCATTAATACCTACGAACTGGTAAGTATTAATTAAAAAAGGCTAGAAAAAGGTAAAGGGATAGAAAAAAGTATAAAAAACCCACAATTTCACAGTATTTGAAGAGCATACATTAACTATCCATGCAACTAGATGCCTTAATTGGTGGGCGATACCACAGGGAAACAGCTAAATCTGACTCTTAAGACTAGACTGGATAGAGCAATGGAAAAATATACACTAAGGCAAAACATCACATGGCTTAATGTAAGGATATGCTGAAATGCTCTGTATCAATGTCTATTTGAATGCAAACTTCCGTGTTGGTTAAAGCTTGGTAAAATAGACTGTTTGTCTAACAATTTTTATTCCCTTTAATTTTAACAAAACATCCTTACAACACAACCGCCACAGAAAGCACTGAGGCTTGACTGAGTGAATTTATTGACTTTAGGACTCAATCCACTTTAAAAGAGCTTGTGCCTTCATTTCAAAAAAATACATGCAAATAAAATGCATTCTGTTCCAGCACAGTTCAAACAAAGAGCACAAATACAAAATACTGTACTGTTCAACTAAAGGAAGAACTTGTATCTCACTGAATAGGTGCCTGAAGCAGATGTGCTGTGAGGTACCCATACATGAGAGACTTCCTACGTTTCACTCATCTACCTGTTCTCTGATAAGAGAGGGGAAAGACATTGCTCTTTTTCCAGATCCTTCGTAAAACCCTACTGAATCGATTTAAATCAAGTTCAGCAATTCTGAGTACATTATGCAATTGCAATTTTAGGATTTTTTTTATATGTCAAGCTAGTTTATAGACACTCAGCTGTTTGCTTTTTATTTATGCATTTAAATGAAGGGCAACTACTATATAATTAACATGAGAAGAGAAGTAAAATTCTTGGAGTGAACTTTGCAATTCCATACAAAATTCCTCAGTTACCATTTTGTCTTCTGCAATGTAAGTCAGATTACATTTACCCAGCCTCTCAAATTTCTCTATCCTACCAAGCACCGAATCAATCTAGTTCACAGAAAAGGAATTTTAAACAACCCAAATGGCTTGATAAATACAAAAAACTTCAAAAAGACTGATATCAGTCTCTTTACATTTTCAAGACACAGCTGAAACTAGACTTTCTTACATGAGGTGATTTCTACTTAACACCAGCAATTTCCTTGCGATCTCAACATGCCAGTCTTCATAAATCTGTGTCTATTCATGGAAAAGTAGCTATGCTCAAGTTTGAATTGGATGTGCGGTAGTCAGGAATATGTCCTTTTATACAAGTCTCTTTAATCATTAACATGGCTTTCATAGCTTCAAGTAGTTTAATGGGCCATGAAGTTACAGAGTTACTTCAAATCTAATGAGTATCTGGCCATACCCCGTGGCAAGGAAATCCAGGAGCTAAGCAGGATCCACCTGAATACACAGTATAAAGCAAAAGCCGCTTTATAAAATATGGGTGTACAAGTGTAAGGACTGAAAACAAGTTTTACCTATTTCAACACAATGTCCATAACACACACAAACAAGTCACACAGCACACCCTCAGTATCACTGTCATTTCCATGTTCATGCCATCTTTATGCCAGGGTAAGTCTCTACGAACAGGCCCTCCTTTCTCCCCATGTTTTCACTCCTTACAAAATCCTGCCCTGCCGAACCCTCTTCCTGCAGGACTGCCTTTCCTCTCAGCAGCAGTCAGAAGCAGAGCACAGAGCAACCAGTTACGCTTACACACTCCTCCCCTACAGAGCAAGCCACCAAGAATGCACTGGATGAAGAGTGCGGGATATCAGCTTTCAGCCAAAACAAATCTAAGCCAAAGTGAACCAACGAAGGCCACAAGCCTTGCATTGCCCAGTGTTCTGTTGCACAGGAAGGGAAGGAAGGTAAAAGTTTCTTACTCTGTTGACCAAGAACTTCAGAAGGGCAGCACTCCAGAGGCAGCCATTCATTGCTATAGCACTGTCGTTGCTTTATTTAAGAAAAAACATACCAAGGCCCCCCCCACACGCACACCCCCTTCCTTCTATATTTGTATCTATTTTCAGGATTTCACATGCATGCTCCTTCTTGTTAACAGAGTCAAAACAAGTAGTTATCCCACTTGCAGCACCATGCTGGCTAGAAAAAAAACATGAGTTTTCTCTGATAATAGCCCAAATTCCTTCACACATTCAGACTATAAAGTAGGGAAACTTCCCATAGTCATCGCACTCCTGGGCAAAGTGTTGTTTTTCACTATCAGCAAACCCGCAGAAAAAGCAGGCTTTAAATAGCATCCCAAAGCAACCACCACTTCCTTTCTCATCCCAAAACACAAAACAAGCTCCTCAGTAAGTTTCAAGTCAGTAAAGAGAATTAAAACAAGAAATGTACAGCATAAGACCTAAGGAAAAGTCAAAGTGAGCAAGTAATTATACAAAATTTCATAGTCAAGAATCAAGTAGCAACACCAGGTGGCTTCAACTGGAGGTTTGCAGAGTATTTTGGACGAGTAAAGCTGATTCAGCAGCACTGAGAGTAAGCACAGTGACTAAGCTTCAAAATCTGCTGTAATGCACTCAGAAAACTGCCTGTAGAAATCAACTGTATAAAGAGGACCAAAACCCAAACAGACACTACCATGCAAAAATCTGTATTTTAATATATTAACAAATGGAATCTTCCGTTTTGTCTTAAACAAGACATGTAGTACCAAATGTTTATGTGCATGGAGAAACAGAGAGGGAATAAATATTACAGTTTTTTATCTGTTTTCATTGCACATTTTGACATATTTTACCAGAAGTATTCTGCAAGAGTAAGAGCACAGTACATTTAACCAATATTGTTCTAAACAGTGAATCAACTAAAATAAAGTAGTACTTTCAACCCAACATTACCTTGGAAAACCGAGCATTTATCCATTTTGTGAAGGTCTTTTTCTGTACATCATTGTGTTCATCTGGAAAGAGAAAATAACAAGAAAACAATGAGTGAAAACTCATTCTTCTTAATTCTAGATTGATCAAAACAGGCCATACTAAATAGTACCTTGACGTAGTGGGAGAATTTTTTGCTTAATCAGTCAATAAAGCTGTTCCAATCTCTACGAGACTTTGGTACTTGCATCGTCACACAAATATTTCATTTTTGCTACCAACCACAGCAGTTCCTTTGCATTAGAATCAGTCTTACAGCACCTCCTGGGCAGGATATCGATGCACTAAATCCACAGGCTTCCCATCTGGTGAATAGCAACCTATGAAACCATACACTTAATCAACAGACTTTGTCAACGCCTTAGCAGTCATGGTGGTGTTAGGTTGACGGTTGGACTTGATGATCTTAGACGTCTTTTCCAACCTTAATGATTCTACAATTCTTTTTGCCTGTATGCATTATTCCCAAAGCTGCTAAGGTTCTTATTCAAGCTTCCGATGCAGATAGTAACCTCCTTCAGTACACGGCACAACAGCTGCAATACCTAAGCTGCTGGAATAACCCTTGAAGTATTCGCATCCTTACCTAGCCTCAGCCTGGTTTTGCACCTAGGTTAGGAACCATGGTAGTGATCGTCCACAGTCAAGTTCAGCTAAAGTGAGGGAGGGCTCCGCAGCCCTTCCCTTCACACATCCCTACTGGTATGGCACCAAAGTACCACCACCTAGGGTCCAGGAGGACCCAGCAGGACACCTCTGGGGTAAACTGCACTAAGCAGTGCTAAGGGCAAGACTGTGCCTCACCGCCTGCACTTAATGACAGTGAATTACCTGCTGACAACAGACCAGGCAAAGGAATTTGGCACACCATGGATTTTCAAACCTGCTTGCTGCAGCCAAGAAGAGATATATACGCAGCCTCCAAATCCGTGCAGCAGACCACAGTCAAGGCAGGCAGTGCCTTCCACCGGGCAAATTCAGTTTGACAGCTGCAGCCCAGATCATAATCTCCAAGAAGCCTTCAAGAGCTTATTGACAGACCAGCCCAGAGGTACTCTTCTAGCACCTGCAGCATGCTACTGCCTGGGATGCTCTCCTGTAGACCTTTTTGGTGGCATCTGGCACTGTTTTTTCCAAGCCCCTTACCACAACAAAGCGTACCACCAAGGTGTTCAGACCATCTGTCCCTGCACCATGATGAAGTCATAAAGAAAACTGGATTGAAACTCAAATGTTCCACATCATGGAACCATGAAAAAGAGGGAAAAAATGTACACAGTCTGAAGAGAATCAGATTATGATTAAAAGGCACCACTTAAAAGATCATACAAGTCAAACAGCAGCATTTGAGACCATTGTACAGTGAAGTTTTACCTACAAACTCCAGATGTTTACAAAAAAATCACAGAATACCAGCAGAAGATTCCTTAGGTAGATGACCTCAAAATTTCCTCTTTTTTCCCCAACATGCATCTGAAACTAATGCCATCCATGTCAAATATATCAAGCCACAGATCTGTTACACGTGGACTACTGGAGCAATAGAACCACCAGGTGGTTTTTACTTAGTATACATGAACAAGAAACAGCAGTGACTAAGGCTCAGTTCAGACAAGAAAAGAAGTCACATTGGTAAGAAATGAGATGTAACAACAGTTAAAAGACTTGATAAACTTTATGAAAACGTTCATGTCAATTTAAAATAAAATCTCAGTTCTGGGCTTCTTTTAGGCTATGGCTGAAAAACCTGTTTACAACATGCCAAAGAGTGCCTGTCTGCTGCAACATGGCAGCCAGTAACTATTATTTCACACTTCTGTGCTTCTCTTTGCCATCTAAAGTTGATCCAGCATAGCCTACTCCTCAGTCGCACTTTGAGCTCAACCTGAAATCAGACAGCTCAGTGCAGAAAAAGATTTTTCTCACAGAGTTTTAAGATACGTACAGTGCATGCACAGCCATGCTTAAAACATCTCATTCAAATTCAAGCTACTGTTCTGGGAAACACAATTACCTAAAAGATCTCATTAACCTGCTCTCTTCCCTCAGTGAAATAAAGCACTTTGCCATCAAAGACAGATAGGGTCTACCAGCAGGACACTCCATGCCAAATATCCATCTTACTGGAGACTGACAGGGTCAAGATTTAAACTCTCAGTACACTGAATGTATTTACTACATAGTAAGGAGACAGAAACAGACTAGATTATCAACTGCCACTGTTGGGCCAAAAAGCTGGCTTTGTACAAAACTCAATCCCAGACTCTGTCCACCGCTTGATAATGTTTTCCATTTACATTAATTGCAAATACTATTTGTATTGAATGTATTGAGATTTAAACATCCTTCTTTCTCTTTAACCCTCTTTCAGTAAACTTTGTCCCTCTTCTGCCAACACCATCAAGGGCATACCTATGCACCAGGATGCTTTCCTAAGGTTTGGTCTGCTCTTTTTCCTTCCCTAGGCTTCCCTATGTGAGAATCAAGAAGAGTAACCCCAAAATTTGAGGTCTCATATTCTTTTAATGTGCTCACTCCTTAAGATGATACAGGCAAAACATGAAGAGAAGCCAAAAATAGATGCACTGATTGTGTAAAAGGATAACAGCGGTCATGAAAAGTGTCATGGATTTATAAATCCTGTGTGCTCAGAGCTCTACACACCTCAGTCTTGCTGGGCTCAGCCCCTTCACAAGCACACACACAGCCAGAGGTGATGGCTTTTCTCAGCGTTACACCAGCTTCAGCCTGCCAGGACTCAATCAGCCTTGTGCCTACGGCTGCTCCCCCCAGGCCTCAGGTCCAGGTTGCTTAAGTGCTCACGCTATATGTGCTGCAGTAGCATACGTGACATTTACTAAAAATGCAGCCCTTTTCCCCTCTTTTTGAAAAGAGGGTTTCCTGGGGACGGGGGAAAAGAAAAAAAAACAACTAACAAACTACAACACACATGACTTCATAAACACAAACTACTTCATCATTAATGGAGGAAAAAAAAAGAACATGAATGTATATACCCCTACTATCTCTTCAGTATCAGAGCATCCTTTAGTCCGGTTAAGCAAGTAATCAGAACCACCTCCACCCCCACTCGACTCCCATCTTCCCAAAACATTCTGCTCAGTTGTAAAACCCATTGCTCGATCAGGCTATGCTTTCACGTTTGCTTTATAGAAGCCTCTGAAACCCGAATTTTTTTAATTGGTCGCTATAGCTAGGGTAGTGTCAAGCTCTCTGCTCTAAATCCCTGGAAATAAATTTGTAACTGAAATGCTTGTGCTTTGTTAACAACAGTGACAAGTTATTTTATCCCTTAAATTAATTTTCTTTAGATTCTTCTGAGTCTGTAAAGCAACCCCCAGAGTCTGACATTACGATTCAGACAACAAATTAGCTGCAGTCAGTCAAAAAACAATATAACCATTCAGCAAAGCATGTGGTACTCTAGCCAGTCAACTTCTCACATGAGACATTAAAAACGTCAGCAAGGCACAGCCTAGTGAGAAACAAATTCATCAAGTCACTAAAACATTTGTGTTTCCTTTCACAGTGCTGCAGTCTGACAATAAAAGCCAAGGACTGACTGGGGGCCAAATTCTGCCTCATCACCTGTCAACTGTTCCCTCTGGCCAACATGGCTCTGCCTGCCCTTCAGTCACTTAATGGACTTGTAATGGCTGACGTCAGAACAGTTTGTTCCTTTAAGGGGAAATAAAAAGAAACCTAAACACACACACAGAGAATTAAACTCTTGTGATGACAACAGAGAGAAGAAAAACTTCCTATCCCGGATGCTTGTTTGCTGAAGCCTGTTTCTGTTACACAACATGATGTTTATCCATGCAACTGGTGGTGTTAGGAGCGTACCCAGTGCCCGTGTCCTGGCATTCAGTCACCCCCAGGAACCACTCTTCTGGCCTTGCATACCTCCCCTACCCACAACGTTTTCCCTTAATTGTATTGGGAAACAGTTCAAGTCCAATCTATTGCCTTGTGAATATCATGTTCAGGAGCAAAAAGGAATCTAAATGGTCTACAAATAGAGGTAATAGCCAAATGCCTCACCAGATTGTGGTTTGCCCTTTATTTAACCTCTGCTTCACACTGAGAGCCAGCTTTCTTATTTCTCCAAAACACATGACATGCTTACATGACAGAACTGTGTTATTTAGTTTTTGAAAGACAAAAATCATCACACCCAGAACAGCTGGCAGAGCTACACTACAATGAGAGTGCCCTGGAGAAGCATACACTCTAAGCTGGCAAAAGAAGTACAGAAATTGCTTGACCATTCCAGCACAAGTTACCAAGGGTCATCTCACATTTTAAGACTTAAATAAGGGGGTGGGGAAGGCAAATTTAAGTTCTCAGCAAAGGAATTTAGAAATAAAAGAAGGAATTAGCCTGTGGGTTTCAATTAAGACACTTGGAATGTAACGAAGTTAGAAACATATCTTTGCCTAAGCCTTTAGGCAAGAGAGTATCTATTGTAGACACCACCCTACTAAGGGCCAGCACACTTCTGAAACTCTGAAAACATTAACATAAAGAGGAGAAAGTGTTGTATTCTTCAGTGCAGCATTTTCTGGATAGAAAAAGCGTTTTGAAAGTAACCATCTTTTTGTCTAACTCACTCGGACTAATGCACGTATAAAGACACAAAATAAGCATCTACTTTAAGGATGGAAACCAGTGTGGCTTTTATCCCTGCTAGCAAGAGGCAAAAAGCCAAACAAGCCACAAAGCACCCAAGTTTGTGACCACCAACTTCACAGAAGAGCCTCTGATTCTCTTTGGGAATGTTGGACCCTGACTTCATTAACACAGAATAATCATTACCAGCAGCCCTGAGGTTTTGGGATAGGCTTATTGGGGGTGTGATGTTCGGGTTTTTAAAAGAAACAGAAAGCAAAAGTTCAAGACTGTTCTGCAGATCCCTGCTTCTCTTGCAACACTGTGGCAGAACAAATGGTTCCAGCAACAAGTAATACGCTTCTAAGCTTTTACTTTCGCACTGC